CCCCGCCGCGTCTGCCTGGCCTCTCCCACTGCTCGCCCGGCCCCTCTTTGTGCCTGCTCGGCCTGCCGTGCCCCCTCGGGCTCCGTCTACTCTGCTCGCCAGCGCTGGGGCGCCTCGCGGCCGCTGTGATGGAGAGTGCCGCCGCCGTGTCCCTGCGTGGCTGAGTTCCTGCGAAGCTTTGGAGCTGTGCCGCTGACCCTGCACGATGGCTGACTTCGTGCTCCGACAGGACGTCGAGGGCCATGCGGTTGACTTCGCCGCCTGGCTCTCCGATCTCCGCCGCCACCTTACAAGTCAGCGCCAGGATGGCCACTCTTTGGTTGTCCATGTCGATGGCTTGCTCCCCCGCCCCCCCGCACCTGCTCCCCTTCCTGCTGACCCCTCCTCTTATGACCATGAGACCCGCTATCGCACTGCCAGCACTGCTGCCCAGCTCACTGCGCTCCCCCCCCTTTCTGCATGACGCTCTATTTTATCGCCATGCGCCTGCCAGACCGCCTCGCTAGTGCTCGCGATCACTTCCTTAGCCAGCACCCACGTGACCTCACCCTCACCGTCTTTGTCGATACCCTCACCGAGATCGAGACTCGCCAGCGCACTATCGCTCAGTCGAGCGGTGCGCCGGCAGTCTCTATCTTTCACGGCTGTGCCCCCTCCCAGTGCACGTTCACTGACGTTTCGGCTGCGGTCGCCACGGCGACCCCTCTCACCGAGACGGCTGCTGTGGTCCACCTGCAGCAGCGCTCGCGCCGCCGTGGCCGTGGTCGTCCGGGAGGTAGGGGTGGTGGCGCAGGTGGTGGTCGTCGTCGTGGTCGTGACGGTAGTCCGCCTGAGGGGACTACCACCGGTGGCCAGGAGCAGCAGCCCCAGCCGCAGCAGGAGCAGCCCCAGCAACAGCTGCCGTCCCAGCAGCAGCCGCCGCAGCCGTGGGCCCGTCTCCCGCCTGGTTGGCCCAGCACCTCCGCAGGTAGTGGCCGTGGTGGCGGCCCGAGCAGGTCGGTGTCAACCGGCGGCTCCGGTGCTGTCACTTGCCAGTACCAGCTTCAGACCAGGCCTCTTCGCGGCACTCTGTGCCTCCGCCCGGACCCGACCGCCCGCTGTTTCCGCCGCCTCGACGATCTCTTTCGTCGTCGCTTTGGCCCGGCTCCGGACCTCCCCGACTGGCACAGCCTGCTCCGCCACGGCGTGCCGATCTTTGAGTTAGACATGGATCACATAGGTGCTGCTTTGCATGCCTTGTATTCTGACGCTTCTAGTGTTGCTGGATCTTATTACCCTGTGTACTCTAGTTTAGGTGTTGCCCCATTGTGTAGCTTAGCCTCCTCTGCTGCGTCAGGCGTAGGACTGCCTTGTTTGCCTAGCCTAGTCTCTGCACTGGCTCCGCTCCCAGCCTCCGCCGATGCTTCGCTGTCCTTCACTCTCGACTCCGGTGCCTCTGCCTACATCTTCCGCGACCGTTCCGCACTCACGCCGCTTGCTACGCCTGCTGTTGTCTCTCTCGCTGACCCCACTGCGGGTCCTGTCGTCGCTCGCACTTCTACGTCCCTTCCCTGTCCAGCAGTTCCCTCGGGCTCCCTTACAGGTCTCCACGTTCCCTCGTTCTCGAGGAACCTGGTTGGTGTCGGCTGTCTCCAGGACCTCGGCGTCACCACCACGTTCCCCGGGCATGAGCGGTTCGCTGTCTGTTCTGAGGCTGTCTCAGGTCTCCCCCTTGCAACGTTCCCCCGGGACCCGGTGTCCGGTCTGTTCACCCTAGACACCGCTTCCCCCCCGGTTGGTGCGTCCTCCCAGGTCGCTGCAGCTTGCTCGTGTCGTTCCCTCACTCACCCGTCCCTTCTCTGGCACCACCGCCTAGGTCACCCTGCCCTCCCACGTCTGCGTCACATGTCCCAGCACGGTCTTGTCTTAGGTCTCCCTGCGTCGCTCCCTGCCCTTCCTCCCTCGACTGCGCCACCGTGCACGCCTTGCGTCGAGGGCCGGCTCCGCCGCTCTCCTCACTCCTCCTCGCTGCGCCTTGCTACTGCCCCCCTTCAGACCCTGCACCTGGACGTTTGGGGCCCTGCCCCCGTCCCCGGACCGCGAGGTGAGCGCTACTTCCTTGTGCTCGTCGACGGCTACACGCGCTACACCACGGTGTTTCCCTTGGAGCGGAAGGCCGACGTGCCCGACGTTCTTCTCCTGTGGGTCGTAGCTGCGCGTCTTCATCGCGGTCTCCCCGTGTTGTGTCTCCACTCTGACCGTGGCGACGAGTTCGCCTCTAGTCGGCTTGGACAGTTCTGTCGTGCGGAGGGCATCACCCAGTCGTACACCTTGCCGGACTCGCCACAGCAGAATGGGGTTGCTGAGCGCCGCATCGGCTTGGTCATGGAGGTCGCCCATACCTCCATGATTCATGCCGATGGTCACCTTTGACGAGTCTGTCTCCTCCTACCGCCGCTTCCCTCACCGAGGTCTCCCGGTTGCCCCCCCCTGTTCCTTGCTCCTTCTCCCCCGGTAGCCCCTGCCCCTCTCCCACCTCGTCCTGCCCCGTCTGGTGTCTGTCACGTCACTCCCCTCCCGTCGGTTGTCCCCGTTGAGGAGTCTGCTGACTCTGGTGGTACCCCCGGCCCGTCCTTGCCGCGTCCCCCTTCCCCGGTGTCTCCGCCTCCACTGTCGCAGTCGCTGACCCCGCCGCAGCCGCAGCCGCCGTCGCCGCCGCTGCTGCCGCTGCTGCCGCCGCCGCTGCCGCCGTCGCCGCCGCTGTCGTAGCCGCCACTGCCGCCGCCGCACTTGGCCCCTGGGGGTGCTGGAGCTGAGGAGGGTGTTCGTCCTGCGGCTCCTGGGGGTGCTGCTGGTGTTGGCGGGGGTTCTCGCTCTGGGGGTGTTGGTTCTGGGGGTGCTGCTGTTGGGTTGTTCTGCCGACGGTCGTCCTGTCTCTGCCGGTCCGAGGGTTCCGCCCCAGCCGTCGCAGCAGCCCCAGCAGCCGTCGCCGCCTGTCTCCGCTCTCCGCCTGCTCGGCCTTCCCTCCCCGGACCGCGCGCCGGTGTCTCCCCCACCGCCTGCTGACCTTCCTGTCTCCGGTCCTGTGTTCCCGCCGCCGGACTCGTCTCCGGCCCGTCTTCCTCCTCGTTCCCCTCCTGTGTCCCCTCCGCTGTCCCCTGACCCTACACCTCCGTCTCACGTTTGGTCTCGCCATCCCTCCCGTGCTCGTCCCGTCTCTCCTGTCCTGCCCACCCACCCTATGTTGCTCCGTTCCTGCTCGTCTCGTCCTCCCCTCCTCCTGTCCCCTCCTCCCTCGTCCCTTGCTGTTGCACCTCCTCCGTTCTCTGACTACCTCCGTGCTGCTCGTCCCCTTGTCCCTGGGTCCTTGCATCTCTTGTTACCGACCCTGCTGTTCCTGTCTCGCGCCTTGACGCGCTTGTCGCTGCTGTCGCTGACTTTGCCTCTACCCGCCGCCTTGACTACGCTACCGCTTTGGTCTCTGACCTTGCTTGTCCTCCGCCCGTCGGGGGTGCTCCTGCCCTTGGGAGTGACGTCCTAGAGGACAGGCAGTACGAGCTTGCTTTCCTTTCCGCGGCTCCTCCCCATCTCTGCTCCATGCTGTTAGTCCCTGAGGGTGACCCAGACGCCTTCGACATCCCGACCCCTCGCACCTACGCTGAGGCTACCTCGGGACCTTGGGCCTCTCAGTGGATAGCTGCCATGGAGCAGGAGATGGCATCTTGGAGGTCCACCGGCACTTACGTCGATGCAGTTCCCCCGCCTGGGGTGAACATAGTCGATGGTCGGTGGCTCTTCAAGGTGAAGTGCCCCCCTAGAGAGCCGCCTGTCTTCAAGGCGCGCTACGTGGCCAAAGGTTTCAGTCAGCGCGAGGGGGTTGATTTCTTCTAGACCTTCGCCCCGACCCCGAAGATGACCACTCTTCGGGCGCTGCTACACGTAGCAGCACAGCGTGACGACGAGCTTCACTCCCTCGACTTCTCTACTGCCTTTCTTCAGGGCAGCCTACACGAGCAGGTCTACCTGCGCCGACCACAGGGCTTCACTGGTACCTTCCCCCCTGGGACCTTGTGGCTTCTCAGGCGCCCGGTCTACGGCCTGCGTCAGGCTCCTCGCGAGTGGCACGACACACTGCAGGCCACGTTTGCAGACCTGCAGTTCTTTCCGTCCTCTGCTGACCCCTCGCTGTTTGTGCGTTCCGGCCAGACTCCTTACTGGGTCACACAGACGCAGGCCAGTGGTCCTTACTGGGCACACAGACGCTTCTTGGGCAGACGACTCTGAGACGCTCAGGTCGTCGCAGGGCTACTGTTTTAGCCTTGGTTCGGGTGCTATCTCTTGGAGATCCACTCGCTCGTCGTCTGTGGCCCAGTCCAGCTGTGAGGCTGAGATCTACGCTGGTGCCATGGCGGCACAGGAGCTCCGCTGGCTGACCTTCATGCTCACAGACTTAGGTGAGCGGCCTAGCTCAGCCCTGGTCCTGTACGCTGACAACAGGGCCATGATACCCCTGTGTCAGGAGCCTCGGCTTGAGGGCAGAGCGAAGCATATCCAGGTGCGGTACTTCCTCCTGCGCGAGCTACAGCAGCGCCGCCAGGCCCGCGTAGTTCACTTGGCCTCAGGTGCCAACACAGCTGATATCTTTACTAAGGCGCTTGCGCCTAAAGATCATCAGCGGCACTGTGTACAGCTTGGTCTTGTTCCTGTAGCTACTCACCTGTTAGGATCCTGATTGTGTACTCTCTATTATATATGCCTGTCAGACTGGCCTTGTGGCCTTACCTCCAGTGGCTGGACTAGTAGTGCCGCCCTAGCTTGCTTTAGTCTTGTTTGTTCACTTGCTGACTGGTCTCCAGACCCCTGCCTCAGTGGTTGGACTAGTAGTGCCACCCTGAGCTGTTTGCTTCTTGCTTAGCTTCACCCCTTGTCTAGCCTAGGGGGTGTGTCAACTTATACATATTAGTTGTGTACAAGTTATAGGCTAGACTGGGGTATACTTCTAGTGAGTACAACCAACTAGTATTTGTTCTAGGTTTCAACTTCTAGTTCACCATTCAGTTCTTACTTTCACACCATGGAAAAAAAGACCCAAGGTCCCTTTTTCCGGGGGGTACTCATGCCGGGAGATTACGGTACGCCACCACCAGGAACCTGAGCCTCAAACTTAAGTCTATTTTTGGTCAGATTAGACAGTGAAAGGGAAATGAAATGTCTGGAAGGTTCTTGATAAACAAGATCTACACGGAGAAGCTTTGTATTCAGCCGTGAGAAAAAATAAAAGGGGGCGAGTCATGAGAGGGCTATGCTGGGTTGTGTGGTCATTCGCATAGCAGCCCCCCTTTTTTACCTCCCCCAGGGTGTAGACTTTCGATGCGTGATGTGATGTGTCGTGGGCCTTCACGATACTGGTACATGAAGGGGACGACGAAGAGGGCGATGAGTGAAGGCAGTGGAAGAGGGCGAGGGCAAGGCGATGACGAAGGCCAACAGGGGTGTCATGGCTTCCGAAGCGAAGAGTCAGGAGAGAGGGAAGGACGAGGAGAGGGAGGATGAAGGCGATGGAGATAATAACCACGGGCAGCTGTTAGAGCTGGAAGCGGAGGGGGCAGAGGAAACACGTTCGGAAAAAGATTGAGAAGGGGAAGACATGGGAAAGAAACAGGTGGAATGAAGGGAGGGAGGGCAGAGAGTGATGAGGAGAGAGGAGCACGTGGTACACGTGGAGGATGCGAAGGGCGATATTAACAGAGAGGGGCCATGTAGACAGAGAGGGGCCACATAGACAGAGAGGGGCCATATAGACAGAGTAGAGCGAGTGCAATGTAGACATTAAGGGTATGGTGCAAGGCGTGTAAGGGGCAAGGGGTATGGTGCAAGGTGGGTGACGGGCGCGGACGGAAGTGTTTGGAGCAAGAGATAGAAAGGAGTGGGATAATGGGGGAGGACGGAACGGACTGGGAATAGGGAAGAGGCAGTGGGGACGTGGAGCGCGAGAGCAACCAAGGAGAGCAGAAGACGAGATGGGACAGAGTGAGACGGGCAAGCACATGCAGTGAGGCACATGGTGCGCATGCAGTGAGGCACATGGTGCGCATGCAGTGAGGCACATGGTCTGCATGCAGTGAGGCACATGGTGCGCATGCAGTGAGGCACATGGTGCGCACGCAGTGAGGCACATGGTGCGCACGCAGTGAGGCACATGGTGCACATGCAGTGAGGCACATGGTGCGCATGCAGTGAGGCACATGGTGCGCATGCAGTGAGGCACATGGTGCGCATGCAGTGAGACACACGGTGCGCATGCAGTGAGGCACACGGTGCGCACGCAGTGAGGCACATGGTGCGCATGCAGTGAGGCACATGGTGCGCATGCAGTGAGGCACGTGGTGCGCATGCAGTGAGACACGTGGTGCGCATGCAGTGAGGCACATCGTGCGCATGCAGTGAGGCACATGGTGCGCATGCAGTGAGGCACGTGGTGCGCATGCAGTGAGATACGTGGTGCGCATGCAGTGAGGCACATCGCTAAGTTGCACTAAACGCTCAGAATCCGCAGCGAATAGCGTATATACGCAGCGTATATACGCTATACACTATACGAGCGTATAAACACTATACGCTCGGCTGAAATTTCGGGGGCAGCCCGTCAGGAAAAAAAATCGATCGCCACATCGCGACGTGGCGAAGCCAGCCACACTATCGCGAAATGTCGAGACCCCAATTTTTTGCCCAAATCCAACTTCCAACCAATCTGCCCCCCCCCAACCGCACTGCATCCCGAGGCATCTATCAAATGTGCTCTGTCTACCTCTACCACCGAACGCGCTAAACCTAAAACAGATTGCGTAATTTACCAGCCGAATTAGGCGGCAGACTAAGCTAGAATCTTAGCTTAGGGAGCGCCACGTCGCCTCGTTTTTTAGGCAGCGCCATGTCGACATGGATGAAACCTTGACATGGCGGTTATTTATGCCTTAAAGGCTTAACTATGTTCTCTGGTACATGCTGCTATGAAAAACTATGGCCCGCACCACATCCCCCCTCCCTATACACGGTTTTTTTCCCTGCCCGGAGAGAAGTTTTCGCCTGCCCGTACAAGCGTATACCTAGCATATACGTGGCCCCAAAAAAGCGTATAGCGTGTATACGCTAGCGTTTATACGCTAGCGTATCAAACGCCATACGCGTTTAGTGCAACTTAGGCACATGGTGCGCATGCAGTGAGGCACATGATACGCATGCAGTGAGGCACGTGGTGCGCATGCAGTGAGACACGTGGTGCGCATGCAGTGAGGCGGCAGGGAGATGGGGGCGCGGGAGGGGGTGCGTCACCTAGATGAGCCGCGCGTGCCGCGCCATCGCCGTGCGGTGGGTCACGACGAGCCGTGCGATCGCTTCTGGTCGCGCGCCAGCTTCGTCAGCAATCTGAGCTTGGCGGCCGTCTCTGGGTTGCCCGGGTTCCGCTGCGCCGCGGCCTTGAACGCGTCCAGCGACTGCGCCACGCCGCACCGACCCACGGAAGCAAGTCGTTATCGGATGAGCGCAGTGAGCAATGAAGGTCAAGAGAGACGGAAAGGGCGCGAGCTCACCTCGTCGTACCGCTGCAGGGCTTCAAGCGCGCAGCCTTTTCTGTAGTACCCCTGAACGAAGCACACGGGCGGGCGGAAGTGAGAGGAGATAGAGCCGCTGAGATCCACGTTCCAGGTAGCCGAATGGCGCTCAAGAACGTCGGACCCTCACCTTCTCCCACGACGGGTTCAGCTTGATGGTCGTTTCCGCGTCGGCTAGAGCCTTGGTCAGCTTGGAGAGGTGGAGGAATGCCGCCGACCGATTGCTGCTCGCGACGGCACACACGAGGGGCATGAGGGGCACACACGAGGGGCATGAGGGGCAGACGAGGGGCATGAGGGGCACACACGAGTGTCGCATTCAGGGACGCGATGGAGCGCGCACGCGAGGGATTTGAGGGGAAGGGATCGAAAGCTCTCGTCGACGTGCTCACCTGTACAGCGCGTGGTTTTCCGGCGACTCTTTAATCGCTTGCGTGTACAGCGCTGCGGCTTTTAGAAAGTTCTTCGCCTTGAACTCCGCATTCCCTCTGTCCTTCAAGCTCGGCTCTGCTTGCGGTTCCGACGAGCCTGGATCCGCCATTTGCGAGCCCTATGCCAGCAGGATCGGGGTGAATTCAACACGGCGGCAGCGACGAACAAACCCTTCACTCTCTCACTCTCTCTCTCTCTCACCGCGGTAACTGGGACGTGACCGGTCTCCGGTCCTAACATATATGAGCGCTATAGCTTCAATGTGCGCGTGTCCCGCGCTACGATTGTCAATACGCGATCTTATGGTGCGCTAGGAGGTTGCTTTGTTGCATAACTCAGCTCACGGACAAAAACGCTTCAGCGGTGGATAAGTCGGTGGGCGTTATTGCTAACGTATGTGCAAGGAATTAGTAATTCCTTAATGAGGCTTGCTACAAGGCGTACGACTCTAACAGTCCCAAACCAGCGATAGGGTTCCAGACCTTTCAGTTCGAGCCTCCTTGGCCTTTCCAAACCTCGCTTCGACACATCGACGCCCTTCGACACTTTTCCCAGACCTTCCGAACCTACATCCAGGATCGCCCTAGGCAGGGTTCTCTTTTGAAAAAAAACGTGTCTGAGGAATCTGACAAGGTTTGCGCATTTTGTCTGATGCACTTTTCACTATCAGTAAAGTAGGAAAAATTGTCTGATTTTTCAGAGAAAACTAGAACGAATGTCTGAAAATTCATAGAAACGTATTTGCATAGTCTGTTTGCATGAGATGATGAGACTTGCAGCACTTCGAATAATTAGTGGTTGCGGGTTACAAACGAGCATAACCGCTAAGCGTCCAAACCGGGGACTCTGCTAGGATTTTTTGCCATCTGAAAATCAGACTTGGCTTTGAACTTTCATCTGACCGTCATACGAAGACTTTAGCAAGTTCATTTTGCCCTAACACGCGCTTTTTACGTCTTCTATACATGCTTGGAAAAATGTTACGGGGAATGTAGATGTCGCGAGGTTCACCTTTCGACCACAGAGAGCATGTTTGCTTCGGCCTTGTGTCCAGCCTTTGACACGACAAATGCTCTGCGCAGCGAAAACCAAAAGATATTGGCGAAAGAAATGGAGTTACGGTAGTAGGAGGCCTCGCTGTTTTTGCCACGGCATTGACGAATCTGCCCGAATATGACGAAGTCGTGTATTTACTTTTCGTCAGCCATTATTTATCGTTTCTGGCGGGAGTTCATTTCGGGCACGATTTCCAGCCGATTTCGAAACGTGCGCAACAGGACTGCTGGCACGCTTCGAGAGCGTCCGCTAAGAACGCACACTTTTCGAGCGGGTCCTAAGGGCGATGAGACTCACGTGACGTGTCACGTGCATGCAGCCCTCTCTTTTGGCCCTGCCGTTTCAGGGTTTGCCCCCGCCCCCAAGTGGTATGGGGAGGAATGTCTCTGATGTGGGGGGGGGGAACTTAGCCGATTTTTTTGGGGTGCGAGGGGTGTGGGTGTGGGTGGGGAGGAATGTCTCTGGTGTGGGGAACTTAGCCAATTTTTTTGGGGTGCGAGGGGTGTGGGGAGGAAGGAATGTCTCTGGTGTCGGGAACTTAGCCGATTTTTTTTGTATGCGAGGGGTGTGGGGAGGAATGTCTCTGATGTGGGGGACTTCGTCGCAATCTTTGGGGTGTGAGGGGTGTGTGTCAAGCCGGTACACATGTATGTCTCTGTTTCAGAGAAACTAGATTCACTTGTCTAAAAATCAGAGAAACTGGTACACCTAGTCTGAGAAATTCAGAGAAATCTTAAAAGCTTGTCTAGGCCAATCAGAGTATTTTCAAACCCTTGTCTGAAAAATCAGAGAAACCCCTAAAAACCAGTCTGAAAATCAGACAACCAGACAAAAAAAATCTGCTATTTAGGACCCTGGCCCTAGGTCTCCTATACATTGTATTGTCTTTCATTTTATTGCCATTCACTCGTTCACAATTTTGCCATTGCCCTCCGCGCTACTCGGCAGTTCCACTCATAACACTAGGTATTCAGAGCCACTTTCCTCTCCCGCTGGGCTTCTGAGGGCAGAATTTTTTTGGGGAGGGGGAGAAGGCGGATGGCGCTACGGAAGGCACATCGGTTGTCCTGAAACATTAAATGATATGCTTCAACTACTGCGTTTGCGTGGGCTTCTGAAGACCGTCGATCCGACCCCAAGGGATGAGCAACGCTGTTCATTTCGCATATCGTTAAAGGAGTTTCAGTTGCAGTTTCATAATTTTCGGCAAGCAGCAACGGCTCCTTACGAGCCACATTATTTTGCCCGCCTTGCATATTCATGCCTAGATTTGGACGCTCCACGCCAATTTACAAACCACACGTGTCAGCTCTGCTGAGCCTAGACCGTGTGCTCTAGGCCTAGCTATATCCATACTCCCTCTTGTTTTGATGTTGCCTCGTTGTATTGTTTCCTCGCTACTCAATTATGCGACACTCGTTGTTTGCGCTTCATTACACCTGGCCATCAGAGCCAACGATCCTCAGCCTTGCGCTCTAGTTCCACTACAATACCGACACTTAGGGAGGCTGACGCCTTGTGCTTACTGTCAACGAATATACTTATATGGGCTAGCTATGTTATATTTGTTATAGCCTTAAATATGGTCAGTTCTTAGAGGGTACAGCCCTACTCGTGTACGCCCCGACATTTCTCCCTTGGTCAACTTCTCTCGACAATCTAACATGGTATCAGAGCTAGGTCTCGCCCTCTACTCACGCTTCTGCCCTAGCACACCCTAGCCTAGCGCGCCTCGCCCCTAGTTGCGCGCCTCGTAACGTATCCCCCCCCCTCCCCCGCTCGTTAGTCGCTCGCCCCTCTCTCCCGCGGCCCGTTAGTCCCTGTCGCCGGTCAGCACTAGCCTGCGCTAGCACGCCAGCGTCAGCTCGCCGGCACTAGCTAGCCAGCAGCTTGCCGTCAGCGCCACCTCGCCAGTGCCAGCTCGCCAGCGCTAGCACGCCAGTACTAGCTCTCCAGCATTAGCTCGCCAGCAGCTTGCCGCCAGCGCCAGCTCACCAGCGCCAGCACTAGCTCGCCAGTGTTACAATAACGCAATGAACTAGATTGTGCCATACAGGGAGGTTTTGTGTTATGGTGATGTACCCTCTATGAGCATGCACCTATCTAGCCTATAACATATACAAATATATGCTGACACACCCCCTAGGCTAGACAAGGGGCGGTGCCTGGCAAGAGACACGCAGCTCAGGGTGGCACTACTAGTCCAACCTTGGAGGCAAGGGTCTGAAGACCAGTCAGAAGAGTTCAAACAAGACAAGGGCAAACCAGGGCGGCACTACTAGTCCGGCCACTGGAGCAAAAGCCACAAGGCCAATCAGGAGAATATAATAAGAGTAGTACACAAAGCAGACATGGCATACAAAGCAGACCTAATCTGATCCATGTCCATCTCAAAGACAGGCACATGACGACGCACCAAGCTGTACCAGTCGAGGGGGTCCGTCGTGGGGCCGAAGCGGAGACGGAAGAGGTCGTCGAGACGGCGGTAGCAGCGCGCGACGGTGTGACCGGGGCGGTCACAGACGGTGCCACGGCGGGGGCCGACACACTAGCAGGTGACCACACTGGAGCTGCCACCTGACACCGAGCTGCGCCCCCACCACCACCAGCACCGCGAGTCCACCACGGCGGCGGGGGTCCCTACGGCGACTGCTGCTGCTGCTGCAACGGCTGCTGCTGCTTCTGCTGCCCCGAGGCACCAGCCCCGGTCCCCTCGTCTTTACCACCGTCCCCTCCACAACCTCCGCCACCTCCGCAACCCCCGCCACCCCTCCCCCCGCCATGCGCCCCCGAGCCTGGCGTCCCCTACCCTTATGGAACTGCGCTGAGGCCGCTGTAGCGGTCTCAGCAACTGGGGCCGTCTCAGCAACAGCGGCAAAGATGTCAGAGTAAGTGCACTGGGAGGGAGCACAGCCCTGAAAGATAGTGCGCTGCAGTACCGCTCGACTGAGCGATAGTGCGCTGGCGGGTCTCTATCGCGGTCAGGGTAGTGATAAAATCAGTGAGGGTGAGGTCAGCAGGGTGGAGGGCAAGGAAGTGGTCACGAGCAGTGGCCAGGCAGCCAGGAAGGCGTGTGGCAAGGAATTAGAGGGTAGTGCCGAGGGGGGGAGGTGGTACAAGGAGCTGAGCCTCAGTGCTAGCATTGCAGTAGCTAGCTTATTGTGCGCGCTGGTGAGTGGCGAGATCAACGATAGTGGGGAAAGACGCAAGGCCTGGGAAGAGCAGGGGGAGGAGGAGACGACCGGATGAGGCAGAGGAGAGAGTGGAATAGGGTGCAATAACAACATCTAAGTACGCCTACGCAGTCTATAGGGCGTGGTAACGGGAGCGCTCAGACAGGGGGAAGGCGCGAATGATAGCAAGCTGCGTAACTCCGTCACGCGACTCCCAGACGGAACGAGCGAGCTCAGCAGCTGCAACGGCCTCATGCTCAGCGGGCGTGGGGGCGTAAGAGAGGGCACCAGGCGGGTTGGGGCAGGGGATCTTACTGTCGATGTGAACGGCCGGAGATAGGCCATCCTGGCGTTGTCCCCTTAGTGAGCGGCGGAGGTCGGCGGGCCACGCCTCAAAGTCGATCGCTCGACCCTCCGCGTCTAGGCGGAGCACAGCGTCCACCATAACCACGGATGCAGCAGCAGACCGCCGCTAAGGGAGGAGGAGGAGGAGAGGGCTGTGGAGAGCAGCAGTGGACACTGCTAGCGGGAGTGCCGGCATAGAAGGGGGAACCAGGGCTGGCAGGTCGGGGCGGCACAGCAGCACGGCGGCTCGATGACACGGCAACTCGACGTCGCGGTGGCTCGGCTACTCGGCGGCTCGGCGGCACGGTGGCTTGGCTACTCCGTGGCTCGGCGGCTCGGCGGCGCAGCGGCTTGGCTGCGCAGCTCAGCGGCACGGCGGCGCAGCGGCTCGGTGGCGTGGCGCAACGGCTCGGCAACTCGAGGCGGCACGGTATGGCCGGTCCGGCGCAGCGTGACGGGGCCGGCACGGAGTGACGGGGCCGGCGCGGCGTGAGGGGGCTGGCACGGCTTGACGAGGCCGGCGCTGTCTAGCGGGGCCGGCACGGCGGGACGGGGCCGGCGCGGCGTGACGGGGCCGGCGCGGTATAGCAGGGCCGGCGCGGTCTAGCAGGGCCGATGCGGTGTGACGGGGATCAGCGAGGTGGGACGGGGCCGACGTGGCGAGACGGGGCCAGCGCGCCATGACGGGGCGCGTACTAGGGCGTGGTCTAAGGCTTGAGCTAGGGCTAGGGGCA